CATCTTCAGCAGGATACCAGATTTCATCCTTCGGCAGCTGCTATTCTTTACAACGGTACTTATCTATCATTGTGTCATGTTATGATTTTATCACAAATTAAAAATTATTACGCTTCATTTAAAAATATATAGCAAAAAAAAAAAAAAAAAAAAATAAGAAAAACATAATTACAACTGTTTATTTTAATTTTTAATTTTTCTTAATAATTTCCAGAAAAAAGATATTTAGTCAAATTTAATAATCTCATTAATTTATATAATTTTTATATTTTTTTTATTATGAATTAGGATTTATTATACATTATTAAATTTTTCTAACTTACAGCATTATTTTTACATTTTATATTGTATAAATTTATAGTTTAAATTGAAATTCATAAATTAATTATCTTCTTTTTTTATATCTTAAACAATTCACAAAAATTATGATCGAAATTGTGATTCTATTTAATTATTTAAATAAAATCGATTTTTATCAAACGAAATTTAAAATAATAATTTATCATAAATTTATTCATTTTAAAAAATAATCAAATTAAAACTTTATTTTATAATTCGAAAGTATTATTATATTCAGAAAAAAAGATCTTTTCAAAAATCTACATAATATTTGAAAAGTATAAAAAGCGTATTATATATAAAAATAAAACTTTTAATCTAAAATAATTCCAATATCATTAAATCTCTTAAATTTTTTATACTTGCCAAAATTTCTTCTCTCTCGGCGAATAATTCGAAATTTACATTTTCGAAAAGAAAGCACGAATGAAAAAAACATGGGATAAATTAAATAAGTTAAAAGACAAAGGAGAGAAAAGAGAAGGTAACAGTCTGTGGCTACCATCGCTTCTTTCAAGGTTTCGACGAATCGACCTCCAAGCAATCACAGCCCCTGGCATGCGTATTCTGTTTCTTGTTCACAGAGAGGTTCAGCCTCCTTCAACGAACTTGCTCCCTGATTGGATCAACAGCTGGAACCAGCGGTTCTGGGGCGGTCGGAGGCGGACAAGTTCAACTCTGGCAATTCCTGCTGGAGCTACTCTCGGATTCGTCGAATTCATCCTGTATCGCGTGGGAGGGCTCTAACGGGGAATTCAAACTTACCGATCCGGACGAAGTCGCGCGTCGATGGGGCGAACGGAAAAGCAAGCCGAATATGAATTACGACAAATTATCACGAGCGCTCAGGTAAAAATGAATATATATTATGAAATTTTATGAAATTTTAATACAAAAATATTTATTCGTTATAAATTCATAAATAAACGTGGAATAATTGTTGATTAATTACTCGGAATTCAAATTCAAACCGAATATTCAATAGTAAAATTGAATTCAATTTAATCTTGATTCAATTAAAATTATGATTTTTCTTTATATTTTAGAAAATAGTGAATAAAAAGGAAAAAAGATTAAAAGTTAAAGTAAATATATCGATAAATTTCATGATATCTTTATCAAGAAAACTATGAAGACATTATTGTAAAATTAAGTTTCATATCATTTAAAATTTCATTATTATAGTTATTTTACAAATATATGCTCATGATCAGTTTTGAATAAATTTATAACAAATAAATATATTGCATTTGAAGAAATATAAATGTCCGTATTTCAATATAACATTATATTAGTTATTAAGTATTATATCAATAATAATTGTTTCCTAATTATCAGAATAACATAATTATAAATATGTAGGAGATAAATTTTGTAATGTTTTAAAATAATTTATATTTAACATATTAAATGTATAATGCGTAGTGACAATTTAACAAAGTAGAATTTCCAATAGTAGGTAAAATTTCCAAAATTCTAAAAACAAAAAAAAAAAATAAACGCAAAATAAAGATATTTAATTATAAATTACTTAATTTTGTCTCTTTTTTAAAAAAAAATATTAATATAAAAAATATAATCTGAAATATGAAATATAATAAATATTTATATATAGTAATAAATATAAATATCTAATCTAATCTATTTTAAATATATCTATATAATACATATATATATATATATATATACATATACAATATATATATATATAGATAATAAATAATTACATCTACTTATTTATGTATTATAATATATGTAATATAATTATATGTGCAAAATAAAATTTATTATTAAAAAATAAATGAAGAGAATTTAAATAGTATAATCATTTTCATTTTATTATTTTCAATAAATAAAATAGTTTTATTATTGTTTTAATAAAAAAAAATTAATTTCTTTTTCAATTAAAGAAAAAATTAAAACCACGAAATAATAAATTATCATTTTAATATAATGATAATATTTATATTATTGATACTCAAGTGTATTTTATAATTATAAACAAATAACAAAATGAAAGCAATATATTTACAGTTAAGTAAATTTTAATTTTGAATTATTATTCAAATTAATTAATATGTATTAATAATAAAATTTTATTAATAAATTCATTTATTGTCAATTTTATATATATATATATTTATTTGATATGAATGATATATTTGATATATTTAATATTGATTGAAAATTTAATAATTTATTATAGTATAAATTAATATAAATATTTATTATTATCAATTTCAATATAAAATTTTCATTGACTTTATAATTGTATTATAGATAGTAAATAACTCATCAAATTAAATACTTGTTAAATTAAACATAGCACGAATTTATATTGTTAATTAATTAAAGATAATGTATAATATATAAAATAATAATACATTGTACGCAAATTAAATATAGATATTTATCATAAATAGATAAATAAACAAGAATAAACAAAAATAATCAATATAAACTTAAAGAATATTTAATACAGTAAAAACAGTATAAATTCTTCATATTATTCATAATTATTAATTATAATATTTTTTATTATTTCTATTTAGATTACAATTAAAAATATTATTCAGTTTCATAATTTTAATTCAAATATTAATCATTAATCTTTTTTATCATTCAATAAATTTTAAAAAATTTAAAAAATATCTACTTAAATAATATATTATAAATAATCTTTTATAATTTTTTTAATATAATAAGTAATATTTTGTTAATTTAGTCAATAATTATATATCTTATTAATTATATATCTTATTAATTTTGTTTTTTAATGATACAGATATTACTACGACAAAAATATCATGACAAAAGTACATGGAAAACGATACGCGTACAAATTTGACTTTCATGGATTGATGATGGCCTGTCAGACGCAAGCCGGTATTACATTGGAAATGTCTCCATCGTCGCGAGGTACAGGCGCAAATTGTCATCCTCATCATTCTCATCATAATCATCACTTATATCCAACAGGACCATCGAGTTCATCAGTATCAGCACCTCCACCGCCTCCAGCGCCTCCGCCACATCCATCACATTATTGTTGGCCTTATCACAGATATTCCCCACCAGCGTAACATAAAGAATTTATTGTTTTTCGTTTTTAATAATGTGAATAATTTTTTTAATGATTATATTATCTATATTATCTATTAATATTACATACATAATTGTAAAATTATTGTTTTAAGGGAATAGATAATTTTTAAAATAATTGAAGAAGATTGTATAAATTTGATAATTACAGTCTAATGATGATTAAAAAATGATAAGTTTATTATAGCATATACATAATGTGAAATGTAATATATAAAGAAAATATTCAAATATAAAATAAAAATAGACAAACTAAGTAATTATATATTTCTTGATAAGAATAAAATTATTGTATATATAAATAAATTAAATATTATCAATTTTTTATTATTTAAATTAGATATAAGAATTTATATCTATGTAAAAAATACATAGAAGTGTCTAAAAAATAATAGTAATAGTAATAATTATTTCTGTAAATATTTTAAATAGAATTTATAAGTACTTTTTGTACATTGTAATTACAATGTACAGTCTTTAAACATAATTTTTTTATTTAATAATTATTAATTAATTATTAATTTATTTAATAATTATTATTATTAAGACATTTAATATAATAAATATAATAAGAAAATTAGTTCTTAAATTCATTAATTCTAATTCATTAAATTTTCAGAAAATATTTTAATTATTATTATTATAATATCATTCTTTTGATAGACAAATAGAAAAATTCAAATTTTTTCATTTTATGATAAATTTTTTGATTTTTTGATTTTATGATAAAATTTCGATTTTTTTAGATTAAATTTTTAAGAGTTAGTATGAAAAAAATATTAGTTTGAAATTAATTTTGTCTATATACTACTAAATAAATAATAAATAGTTTGGTTATATTTATAATGTTTGCTTCTTATTTATAAATAATTAATAACTCTTATATTTAAAGATTTACAATAGATAATAATCTATTATAGATATTTATAGACATCCATGCGCCATCTACAGTGAATAGGTAATACTAGATTAAAATTTACCCTTTAATGAGATAAATGCTGATGATTTCATTCCCTATATTTAGAGTTTAGTATTTTAAAAGATATAACAAAAAATATCATTATATATTTTTTCTTAATCTATAATCTTATTTAAAAATTATAAATAATTATAAGTAAAGTAACATTGAGAATGACATTAAAATGGTTAAGATTTTAAAACTTTTAAGACATGTAAAAGTAAAAATGCAATTAAATATTAAATTTATTTTATACATTATTAAATTTGCATATTATGTTTATTTTATATCTTGTATTTGAAATAAAATTTATATCATTAAGAATTAAAAATACATAAATTATGAATTTTTTAAACATTTTGTAGATGTCACTTACATCAAATTCTTAGCCAATCAAAATTAACATTGACATAACCTAAATATCGTATGTTGAATTAAGCGCCATTTCTCTTTCTTCATAAGAAAAGGTAAATGAAAGCACGCTGTGAAGCGATGTATAGAATATCAGTTTATTATAATATCATCATTATAATTTTTATGTGAAAATATTTTAAAATATGAACTCAAAAATAAAATTACTAACATTATTGTATTATTTTAGTTCTTCAGTCCGTAAAAAATATGTCAGACGTTGAAAAGTAAGTATGTTTTATATATCTGTTATAAAAATAAAATATTAACACATTTTTTTTATTATGAAAGTATTACATTAAAACTCTATGTAATATTTATTGTCTTTATTAAAAATTGTTTGAGTTTCAAAATTTATATAAAATTTAACCTCTTATAATACTATGCAAAAATAGAATAATAATGCAATTATATTTTTATATAAAAAATTTAAAATAATGAATGAAGTAAATTTGAAATAAATAGAATCTAATTATTATTTTATTTTTAGTGATGATGTACCTTCTGCAATGGCAGCAGGAGGTGCAATGGATGTCAACACAGCCCTTCAAGAAGTTCTTAAAAATGCATTGATTCACGATGGTGTTGTACATGGTCTTCATGAAGCTGCCAAAGCATTAGACAAGTGAGTTTATTATATATCATTTTGTGTATTTTTGTAAAACCTAATATATATTATTTTCATATGATGAAATATTAGGTTCCCTCTTCTGAGAAATACCCGTTATAAAAATTAATAATGCTGTCATGAACATCTTATCTGATTTATTAAATAATTATTTCTCAATTGATAATTTAAACATTAAATTTATTTATATTTACTTTATATATTATATTTTAGGAGACAAGCTATGCTATGTATTTTAGCTGAAAATTGTGATGAGCCTATGTATAAAAAATTAGTACAAGCATTATGTAATGAACATCAAATTCCTTTAATCAGAGTAGACAATAATAAAAAACTTGGTGAATGGGCTGGTCTTTGTAAAATTGACAGTGCTGGTAAAGCTCGAAAAGTTGTTGGGTGCTCCTGTGTTGTTATAAAGGTATAAATTATATAAAATACAAAATTAAAATTTTTTTTTAACTCAAATTATAAGTTATATGAGATTTTATGATGAAAGCAAGGCTCCCTCTACTGAGAGAACCCATATAATTAATAAAAACTATGCTGTGTTAATGCCTTTCTGATTTTAATAATTTAATATTGATTTTTTAACAATTTTTATTAATCATTGAATTTTTTTTAATTATAGAATTGTTTTTTTACTTTTAGGACTTTGGAGAAGATACTCCTGCAAAAGATGTTGTAATGGAATATGTCAAACAAAGTTCTGTACACTAATATCTTTTAATAAAATATTGGACATAAAATCGTACGTATAATTAATTTAATCCTAAGTATTTTTAAATTTTGTATTGTAATAGAAAAATCAACTAAAATTTATTCGTGAATAATTTTTAATTTATTTAATTTAATCACTGAAGACAAAATAATAAAAAGATAATAAAATTTTTTTTCTGGTAATAGTTTTAGAATTAAACTTTTATTTATTTTCTATATTTTTTGTTATTTTGTCGCAAATATTTTTATGTTTAATCCAATCTTTTATTTGACATTCCCTGTAATGATTCAATAATAATTGTTTGATCAAAAAATAATAGTACTTTATATTAATAGGTTGTTGCAGATGAAATAGTCAAATTTTTAATAAAGTTATTAACATTTATAATTCTATTAAAAGTAATATTAATCAAATTTTAATTTAATAAATTATGTTCATTATAAAACAGAATTATTACAATTAAATTCTTTTTCTTGTTATATATAATAAGTCTAAAGATTTATTTTTGATATTAATTTAAAATTTTCATATCAAGAATCATTTATTTTTTTAATGTAACTATTTTGAAAGTTTTATTAATATCAAACATTAAGAAATATGCTTAAATTGAAGCTTAAATTATAATTCAATTTTTATTTTTATAATAAATAAATAAAATGTAAATCAAATTATATTCAACTATTTTCAAAAATAGTAAAACAATTTTTTTTTAAGTTTTTTGATAATATAACATATTATTTAATAAGAATATTCATTAATATAAATATTGAAAATATTGAAAATTTATATATTTTTGAAATCTGCAATGCAACAACCTAATGTATGAATGTAATAATTGAAAAAACTTATACCTTCCACAATACCAAGCTTCTTTACATTTAGAACAACGTTTTTTTGCTTCTTCATGACATAAAAAACATTCTTTAATATCAATACAATCTAGTTTATCTAAATCATATGCATCACTTAAGATTTGTGCTGCATTTTTTATATAATCAGCATCTGTTGTGTATATAAATTTTGATTGATTTTTTGCTAATTTTTTCCACTTTTTATGATATTTTTCCATTATTGATGATCTTATCTAAAAACATAATTGTTTAATTAATATTGTAAATAGCTCTAAATATATATTTATCATGATAATTTTTAACCTGTGGTATAAGTTCCACATTTACTGCTCGTGATGCATTAGTATTAGGTGATGATACATTTAAATAATTTAACCATCGTTTTAAATCCATTAAAGGAGAAATTTGATCTATTACACATTCATGCAAATATTTCTGTAACTAAAACAAATTTTTTTTTATGTAAATATATATTATTTTATGCAATATACATATACAATCTTAAATATATAATATAGTTTGTAATGATAAAATATTTTTAATAATTTAAAGAAAATTAAAATACCTTTAATAATTTAAAGAATCTATGTTCAGTAATTTCATAATAAGATGCACTTTTTGGATTAAGTAATAATTCTCGCAAACCTAACCAAATTTGTCCTTCTATCTTAGAAATCTTTTCCTCTTCATTTGATTTTGATTTTCTCCACCCACCATTATATATCATATTTTCCCCTTAATAACAAGCAATTTTATTGTAATTTATATTATATTTTTTTATATTATGGAATGATAGTTACCTTCTGCATTTTTTTTTGTCCATGGATGTTTCTCAATAAGTTCAACAAGCAAGTAGGGTACATCATGTGTAGTTAATAATCGCGATAATACATATAATGGTAATTTATCTGCAAATTCAGCCAAGTAACGAAGAATTGAAATGCAACGTATACCAATGTCAAATTCGAATTCTTTCTTTTTTTCAAAAATTTCTTCAAGACATGAACTAATTACAATAAATATTGATATTATTATTTAATTCAATTTAATAATTTTTTTACTAAAATTATATAAGTTTTAATAATAACTTACTTTGGGTCTTTTACATTTTCATATATTTCAATATTCGATACATCAATGAGTAGAGATACAGATTTAACAGCATAATCAACAAGATCAAGAATAGAATCATTCAAAGTTTCTGCACTTTCACAGTGAAATAATACATTTTCTAATAAAGAAACTGCAATATCTTCATGATAAAATATTGTGAATAGCATAAAAGTATTTTTTGGTTCTTCATTCATTTCTATCAAAAGTGGAAATACTTTATGTTTCCATATATCAATTTGTATAGCTTCATATATAAGAATAGGAATCTATATAGGGAAAGAAATATTAAATTAAGAAATTGTTGTATAAAAAATATTTTATTTACCTTCCCAAGAGAAACAAACCATTCCTTCGTACTTTCTTCTCGCAAAGCACTAATTTCTAATACACTTTGTTCATTTAATAACATCAATCTTTTATGAAATTCAAACCATCTGAAAAGAACATTCAGATTATATTGCATGCATTATATTGTACATTTTTATACATTCAAATAAGGTTTTAATGTTTAAAAAAAGATTTTAAAGAAAAAAAAATTAACCCTTTTGTTCCAATATTTTCAAGATCAGATATTTGTAAATTATCTATAAATGACTCAATTTCCCAAGATGAAATAATATATTCCATTCGAGTTGACATTTTTATGATTAAGAAAAATACTATATGCTATAGATAAATGGCAACCATTTGTAAACAAAATTCGTATTTGATATCTTCGACATGTATATATACATACATACATATATATATATATATATTATATAATAAAATATATATATATTAATCATTAAATTTTTTAATTTTATAAAGATAAAAATATATAGATAATACAAAAATATATACATTCAAACGGATTTTATTATTGTAAAATAAATCTTTTTTTTAAATTAATATATTTTATCATATTTTTTTTATTTATTTAAAATTTTTTTAATAATAATCTATGGATAGAACATAAAAATATATTATAAAATATATTATAATAAAATATATTATAAAATTATTAATTATTTTAATTCAAAACTTTAATTCAAAAAGTTTTATAAATGTTAATAATTTTTTAATTCATAATCATTATATTTATAATTACATTAGGATTACATCATATAATATAAATTTTTTAAGTAGGAAAATAATTGACATAACCTATAATATCTATTATTTATTGAAAGTTAAAATCTATTTTAAAAAAATGTTAATTACAATTTTTCAAATTTACATTCTAATTATATTAAATATTGTGAATATATATTCTTTTACAAGTCATCAAATTAATGGTAATTAAAAAAATTAAATTAAAAATAAAATTATTTTATGAAAAGTTATGATTTTTATTTAATATATTTATTTATCTCAGATATCAATAATATTAAAAATATGTCTATAGTAAGTGATATGGAATTAATAAGAGTATCAGAAGAATTATTTAAAAAATCTCCTAATTTATTTAATTATGTGCATATAAATTATCAAAAACAAATATGTTTTAATAATTTTACTGATAATGCTTCTGAGAGGTAAAAATTTTATTATTAACTTTAATTTAAATATATTATTATATATTAATTATATATATTATTTAACTTTAGGTTGTTAAATATATCATTTAATATTTTTTCAATATTAACAATAAAATCTCTTATAAAATTATTTGATAATTATGAATTAGATACTTATCAACCAGAAATTATAACGAAGGAAGAAGATCTAGAAGAAAATGAATTTATTAACAATTTAATGAAAACAGATATAATGTTATATGTTATGCATTTTTTATCATCCAAAGGTTTTTTTAAAAATGACATGTACATTCATAAAAACATTTTAAAGCAAATATGGTTTCATTTATATCCTCGAAGTAAAGGAATAAATGATAGTTCTGGATTTGAACATGTATTTATAGGAGAAAGAAAATCGCATAAAAATATTATAGGACTTCATAATTGGATTTTCTTTTTCTGTGGAGAATCATCAAATAAAATTAATTATTTTGGATTTGCCAATAGTAAAAAAATGGTTAATGTAAGTAAAATTATAAATATATATAATAATATTTGTTAAATCATTTTAAAATGATTTTTTTAGAAAGCAATCATCTTAGAAGTATATTTCACTTATATTGGAAAACATAAAAAATCAAGTATGTTTATTGGAACACCTCCAGAATTGGAAATAGCACTTTATACACTCTGTTTTTTTACAAGACCAAATAAAAGATGTAAATTATCTTTTGCGGGAATTAAATTTGATATTCAAACATATATGTTGCAAAATAATGGTTTAAAATTTATTGCAACTGCTTTTCCTATTGCAAAATAGGAAAATATTATTAAATATTAATAGGATATTATTTTAAAATATTATTTTGAATTAAAATATTTTAATATTATTTTTTTATATTATATAAAATAATCAAGATAAAAAAACTATGAAAGTAGAATATTTTATTTGTTAAAAACACAAAGATTAATTACAATGAAAATATTATATATGTTCTTAAAATATAAATAATCATTTATACAAAAGAAAAAAAACTATTATATCATATTTAGGAACTCTTCAAGTTAAATCGACCACATGACTATCATGCTTGTATTCAGTATCAGCTATTTTTTTTTTGATATTTTGTTTTCTTTTTTTCTTTGATATAGAAGAATTTGAGAATGTATTATTATCATTTTTATTTAAAGTTTCTTCTATGTCATTTTCTGATAATTTAAATTTTTTAGAAACTATTGGAGAATTGTTAGAAGAACTACAATCTATAAAATCTATTTCCGAATCACTTGAATCATTTTCTATTGGAGAATCATATATCTTTTCTTGTTCATGTTTAATATCATACACAAATGTCTGTAAATAAAATATAAGATAAATATAATCAATTATTGCTTTTAATTTTTTTTAGGAATATTTTTCATATTTAATTTCAGACCTTTTCAATTTTTTGTTTTGTGCAACTTAATAAAGAACTTGTACTTGATATATTTTGATTACTTTTTTTTGATAAACTTTCAGTCAAGTTTTCTTTAGAGATATTATTCTTATTTTCTGATTTTTTAATTTCTAATTCATTACTATATTTATCACTAATACCAAGTATCTCTTCTAATTCATCAACCCGTTTTTGTAATGCCATATTTTTACTTTCTGAAAATGCTAATTTTTCTTCGAAATCCCTAAAATATATATAATGTATATAAAATATTCAAATTATAATTTAAAATTTTTAATCTATAGATATTACTTAACAAATATCTTACATTTGTTTTGACTGCTCTTCTAATGATGTATCATTTTTCATATTAACTTTAGAAAGTTTTTCTTGAAGCTTTTTAATACTCATGCGTAATTGTTTACATTTATTAAATCTTCCAATTAATTCTCTGTAAAAATTATTATATTGATGATGATTATATAATTTTTTTGAATATGCTATAGATTGTTTTAAATATATTATATATTACTAACTTTTTCATAATAGAAATATACATAGTAAGTGTTTCGGGATCTTTAGTTTTTCCAACCATTTTACTAACATCACTAATAGGTGCATGTAATAATACCTGTATTCTAAAATACACAAAAAATGTAAATATACAATAAATACATAAAAAACATAAAAATGTAATGTAAAATATATATGTATATATGATAATTACGTACGGTTTAAGATCTTCAATTTTATTTTTTAATTGAACAATTTCTTTTTTTAAATTATCACAGTGTGAACTTTGTTCTTTAAAGTAATTAATTTGTTCTTTCAAAGCATGTATTGCTGCATTTTTTTTATTAATTTCACTTTCTACTTTTCGAACCTCTTGTTTTAAACCAGCATTTTGTTTTTCTAAAGTAACATTTTTTGAAGAATAATATTGAATGTCTTTTTCCTTTAACAAAATTTGAAATTTTAAATTATCCACTTTCTCTTGTAATGTAGAACCTTGAGATTCAACTACTTCATTACTTGGAAATGTGAAATAGAGCCTATGTATTTTACTTTGTGTAACTTTCTCTCTACATTGTGGACAGCTTTTTGACCTGAAAATAAATTATAATCATAATCATAATTATAATCATATATTATGAAAAAGAAATGAATTAGAAATTGAATTGATACATGCTATGAGCTAAATTTTCACATTTTCTAACAAGATGTTTTGTTATTTTTTAATATTTATTTACCTTTCAAGCCATTGTGTTAAACAATGCAAATGAAATACATGTCCACATCTTGTATAAAAAATATCATCTGATTGTATTAACTGTTCGCTACATATAGAGCAAATGACGTTCATTTTACGTTAAAATAAATAGTAAGCATAGAAATATTTGCTATAGATTAATTTATGTTAAATTTATTATTATTTTTTTTTGTTAATTGTAATATCAATATTATTTAGTTTTTACTTTCCGAAAAAGAATCTAAAATCAATTTAATATAATATAATTTGTCACGTTCTAATTCAAGATCTAATTCAAAAAGGTTATACATGTGCTATCAAACAGCATTAGTCTGAAATGTCATTGGTAGGATTTAAGTTTACCCTTAGAACTTTGAATTTAGTATTTGTATAACACAATGAGTATACAATTTTACTTTATTTATAAAATAATATTTAAACGTATTTAAATATGTATTATACATCATATATAAAAGTAATTGTAAATAATAAAAACAAAGATATGTCACATTTAGTTTTTAACAATAAAATATATATTATATTTTTTTGTATAATATTATATTTACAGGATAGCCAATTGAAATCTCAGTTAAAGCAAATTGTCTTTATGACAAATGTATATTATAACTTTTTTATGATAATTGTCACCATTAATAATAAATATTTCTCGCTGTTTTTTTTACTTTTTTTATCGCAAAATGTATAATGCAAATATAATTATACAAGTATCTTTAAAAATGTTCAATTTCAATTCATTTTTAAAAATGAATTTTCCAAATTCATTTTTTAAAAAATAATATATCTAATTCACATTTAATTTCATTGTCATTTATTTTACATGTGAAATATCAATATGTATATTTGCAAATATTAATTCTACAATAGAATTCAACTAGAGATACAAAAATTTGCAATGTTTCCTAGGGAATTTTCTACAGTTTCTTATTTAGTTGTCGGTCAGTATTGCAGGCCATAACAATCGATTTACTCTGCAAATTTCAGCTATTCGAAACTTCGCGAAGAAGGAACCAGTTACCAGTGGTACCTTCTCGAAAGAACGTCTTTATCAAAAACATTAGCTTATATCGAAGAATTGCCGGCATACATGTGAGTGCGCGAGTTAACATCGAGCTTTTCATTAACTTATTATTAATAATTATTATATTAAGTGTATTTAATATTGTTGTTTATATATAGTAAAACGAAGAAGCTTATCTTTTAAGGTGGGTGTCGTCTTAACTTGAATAAAGATATACTGATGAAATGAATTTGAATAATATGAATTAGATATATTTCACATTTCTCAATTGTCATTCTTTTAATTCTTTTCTATGATTTATTTATATGTCATTAAACAATTGCATTATATTCTACATTAAAATATTCACATATAAAATGTCAGCCATTTGTTGGTTAAATGATTTTTACCTGACAATAAGTCAACGTCACCTGTTTTTTACGTTAGATAAAAAAATATATTTTTATGAAGAATTAACTGTTCTTTGTATATATATTGTCGAAAATAATACATATAATAAAAATATATGCAATAAATATACAAAAATAAAATTTTATTATATATAATTTTTATTCTTATTATTTTTTTGTCATTTATTGAAATATATAAATAATTTCACTTTGTTTAAAAGATCTCTTCATAGAAACATATAATAATAGAATCTCATATATACATATGAATATGAATATTTTTTATGCATATATTACATATATATTACTATATTTACTTATTAAAATTATGAGTCTTATATTTATAAATATGTTTTTTTTTCAAAATATGATATATTTTTTTTGTAAATAATAATTTAATATTAATTTGATTTATATATTATATTATAGATCGTAATTTTTGAAATATTAAATTTCATTCAGATTTAAAATGGATATTTTAATCTTTGATTAATTTAATATTTTAATATTGTCATTAATTTTTTCGTAAAAAAAATTAATTTTTATTATTAGTTATATTTAAAAAAAAATTTATAATGTTATAAAAATATATAAAACAATTAGTTATATTATATATAAAACAATAGTTAATATTAAAATAGCATTAATATTTTAAAATATAAATTATTTTATTATAATTTAGGATTTCAATGCTTTATATTTAAGTTTATATTATATTTAAATTTTTTTCAATATTTTTATTCTATTCTATAGATATTTAGCAATGAAAAAATATACTGATTTCGCGCTTATTTTCGACGCACATGCTGTTTGCCGAATTTTACCGAAGTTCATCGAATTTTATCGAAATTTCACGAAGTAGTACGATCAAACACGAAATTCATGATAGTCGCAGATCTTATACAAAGTCGAGAATATTTTCATAATTTCTTAAAAAAAATTTTATAGAGTTTATATTAAATATGTATGATGAATAACATATATTGACATATATTAACATATATCGATTATTTTAAATCGATTATTTCTTTTTTTATAATTTTTTATAATTTCATGATAGATATATCTTAAATATTTTTATTTTAAAAAAATCGTAACAAAATTTCATTTATTTATTTATTTTATTTATTTAGTTGATATTAGTTTATCTTTTAAAAAATTGATTAATATTATAATATATTATATTAAATAATAAAAATATTTTTTTATTTGTTAATAATTGCATAAAAATAAAAATTATTTATTTGCTACAATATTATTTATTATTGATTTTTTTCCATAGTCTAAATAATTTGTTTAGCTTGTTTACTTAGTCTCTAATACTGTATATCATTATATATTTTGCTTAACATATTATTTTGTAAATGAAATAAAAATATTTTTTGTAAATGCAATGAAAATACAAAAAATTTTCAATATATTTAAAAAAAAAATAAATATAAATAATAATATATTTAATTTCGACCATTTGTTGTTGTTTTTTAGTAGTTTTTCATGATTAAACTAGCCATATATAATCAATTGTGTATTGTTTGCAACTTGACAACTTTTCTTAACGTAAGTACATTAGATTTCAGTGAAACAATTTTTTATAAAGTAAAACATATTATGTCGCATGCGCGACGCGTGCCAATTTTCTTCGTTATCCTCTAGCTTGTTATTAGCTAACATCAGCACGTGACGATAACGTGACGATAACATTTTTTTCTTTTATGTTTTAAAGAAACATTAAGACAATATTTCAGCAGGAAAGTCTGAGATTCTTAGTTAGTTTCATATTGATTTTATAATTAAAAAAATACTTCATAATAAGCTAATTGGCTTAAATGTCATTTAACTTAATCATTCTAATAATTATAACATTATTGTTATAATGTTGTTAGAATAAGGATAAAAATATATATAAAAATTTTCATTTTTCATGCAATGTGCGTATTAGCAAAACAATGATATCAATAATTTTAATTCTTTTAAATATTTATAGAAAATTGATTTTCTAATAGATTATTCACAAAAACAAATAATAATGACAAATTTGATAAGTAGTGATTTTTCGAGAAATTCATTCAAATTCAAATTATCATATTCATAGATAATACGAAATTAAATCTGCAGAAGTTAATATTTTTCTGTGTAATTTTACCTTATTAGTGTGTATTTCAAATATCAAAGTATTCTCAAATTATTCAACTTATATGCGTATGACTTATATGCATTATATTATATACTTATATGCATATTATTTTTTATCTATTATGAATTTTCATATTAGAGAATTGAAACTATATGTGTAGATGAAGGATTCTATTTTCATTATATCTTTTTAAAGCAGAGGAAATATTACATTTTAAAGTTTTAGATCAATATTAAATTTAAATTTGTTTTTAAAATATATGTATAAAATATTTGCATTTCATAATAATTTTAATTATATTTTGCTTAAATTTGCAAAATTGAAAAAATGAAAACTGAAAATTTTGATTTCATCTCCTCAAAAGAGATTTTTAATCGACGAAAAAATTTCTCCATGTATTCTATCATATTTTACATATACAATTTTCATTTAATCAGAATTTTAGGATTAGATGAATTTTTTTGTAAAATAGAATTCAAATATTGAATTTATGAGCCATATATAAAATTTTATTCGTATCCTCAGTGGATTCTTTTTTTTTAAATATTTAAAATTAAAATGTATTGATAAAATAAATATTAAAATAAATATAAAATAAATATTAGATATTTTATATATATAAATCAATAGATCCATTAATTTTTTATTTTTCATTTAAATAAATTTTAGTTTTTTATATTATTTGAATTATTACACAATTTATTTATTATTAGTTGTAATTTTTCGAATATTGAACTTGAAATATGAAACTTTACAAGATATGCTTTTAACATGTATGTGTATTATGTACAGTCTTTCTGCCTTCTTTATCTTGAGAAAACGAGAAATACATGTAACTTCGACAAATCTGACCTTAAATATTTACTAGGACAATATGTTTCATTGTCAATGAAACAATTCAATCAACTTCTTACAAGAGATATATGCGATAATAGTATATATTTTCAGAAAATCAAAGTTCTTTAATCTTTTATAATTTCATATTCAATTTTTATAAATTTTATCGTTTTTCTATCTACTGATTATGTAATTACTCATTATTAATTGCTATCAATAAAAAACAACTTGCAAGTATATAAAATATCAATAAATAATTTATTCGAATAAAAAAACAACAGAAAAAAAATAAACAGAAAAAAATTATTGTACTTTTTTCTCTTATGATTCAAATATGTATATCAAATAAATTATTTGAATTAATATACGCATAAAAAATGTATTAATTAAATTTTTTCAAACCTCCAAGATGTAAAATCATTGCTATATATATAGTATATATATTAAGATGTTGTTTTATTTTTCACTGATTAATAATATGAGATATCCTTCACAATGACGAAAACAGAAAATAATTGATCAAATTTAGAAACAAATTATTCGCCATCGATATTTGTCTTATGTTGATATAAAATAATTGCGTTTAGCGCGACACGGCGGATTATTTCATTAATAATGAAGGATGAAAAAAGTCAATAAATCATTATAATATAATATCGATTGTGCGTTACTAATCATTTATCTATTGCATATGTATTGATAGTCAAATGCCGATACAATATGTACAGCTGATCGCAACGTCGACAACATATATGTCTCATTAGTGAATTATCCGAGAATTATAAGATAATGAGTGATAACCCTGATCGTCTGTCATGACACGCGACATTGTCGTAAAAAGAGAGGGAGAAAAGAGGAATAGGAAAAAAAGAGAGAACGAATAGCGAGGATGAAGAAAGAGGAAACGATATATATTTACGTATGGTAACGGTAAAATGGTTGTTTTTGACGGTGGAAATGTAACTGTGTAGTGACGATGATGCTAATTGTGATTGTGGTGATGTATATGGGCAACCGTATGATGTACGGGATGACTAAAAGGTCGCGGCCCCGTCATTGATACGGATGGAGAGAGCGCACTTTGGACCAATTCCTCACGACAGCTAACTCAAATAAACTCAGGGGAACGCGACGTTACTACTTCAGTGCTACTTCGGCCACACACCGCGGCACAGTCGCATTGACCAATCAATTATTCTCTTTTTTTCATCTATTAAGATCTTTCTTCCTCTCTTTTTCTTTTAAGCTTTTATTTATTACTATTATTCCTTTATCCTGAATAAATCGATTTGTATCACGCATTATTTCCTTTATTATTATTTCTCTCTCTTATTCATTATTCATTTTATTACTTCTTTCCTTCAAATTACCCTTGTCTAAAATAAAGGAACGAACTAATTCACTGTGACTTAACCACGCACAGATAATCAGGGTTCACGATAGAACGCTCGTTTGCACTACTTGAAAAAAGAAATAGAGAAGAAGCGAAGACATCGGGCGAAAATAAACGAGACCTAACGAAACTAGACGAGACGGAACATCGGAACTATTCTGCCCGCGAGTACGCGACATTAAGCTGCCCAACTATAAAGGAAACAACACGAGGAACGGCGAAGTGTTGTCTCTCGCGCGGCACTCGACAACGAGGAAAGACTACTAGTTAGACTGAACAACTAACTGACGCGGTTCTCCTTCAACTTCAGTTTTGCTTGCACACGTGATCGCACGTGATACACGACACTTCGTATAGAGTAGCGCTGTTGAACCGGTGGCCGCGCATATAGAACACGAATTGAAGAGAAAGAGAAGAGACATTCGTGTGTGGAGTCGCGCGACGCTATTATACATTCGCGGTGTCTTTTTTTCTTCTTCCACGGATTACACGGTTTGACATAGGTGATCAGAGAATATCAAAATGTCTACAGAACCTGGTAGTTTCACCTCCAACGGGAGCATGATCGTCGTGAGCAACAGGTTGCCGTTCGTACTGAAGAGGAATGAAATAACCGGTCAACTGGAACGCAAGGCCAGGTTAGTATGTTAAAATAGATGATTTTTTATTTTTTTTTATTTTCTTATTTTTTTTTTTGTTCATAAATGTTATTATGCATGCATCATGTTATTATATTATTTTTCTCCTCTATTTATTTGATATAGATGCGTAAACGAATTTCGCGGCTGCACGTTGAATGCACGCCGCTCGTGGTCATTGTAACGCGATCCGATCGCGGACGGAACGTGATATTACTTCATCGTTATTATGCATATCCTTGAATGACCCAATTTTTTAATGCAATATTTTTATCTTCGTTACTTTTTATTTAATTTTCCTTGTTTTCATTTTGGATATATCAATTTTTTATCTTATTATTATCTAATTGCAAATTTAACGAATATAAATTATATTTTTAATAAATTTTTATTTTTGTATAAAATTTTAATTTCAAAATAATATATATAAAATGTATATAATGTATATAGGATTTTAAAATTTTGCATTTATTGTAACGAACATAAAAAAAAAATCACGATCGAATAATATATAATAATATATTATTAAATTATTAAGAGACTTGCACAATGAATGTAAACGGTAGTATTCTTTCGAATGAATATTTAATCACGTGGTAATTTATTCTATTGCGTAAACAAATCGATAGAAACATCAGCAAACATTTTGACGTAAAACAAGGAGAAAACATTGAATTGTGATTCTCCATTTCTATATCTTTTGATTTATTAAATCTATTTATTAATATACTCATCGGAAATATTGATATTGTGAAAATTTTATTTCCATATTTATGAGAAAATATTTGAAAGTAAATATAGTTCCATGACACTTTTTTTTTACTATAACTATTCAAATTGATTGGAAAATTGAAAAGAGATTGAATTAAAGAAAATTGACTAATTGAATTCATTGTCATTGATTAATTGAATTGATTGAAGAAAAGAGATTATTTAATATTTGGTAACAGTAATCTATTACCTTTTATTATTATATTGTTAGGAGTTTATTCCGGTTCTCTTTACTAGTACTATTGACTGGTAATTGAACATAATCGACAGAGTTATTCGATAAATCGTTTTGTTTATGTACCGTTAAGAACAATTAAAGTATGTCTTATTTGATGGACGATAGATTTTTATTCAAATATATTTGCATTTTCAATAATATTTTTAATTAAAGACAAATAAATGAATTTAAATTTATTTTGCCAATTTAAAATGCAATCATATTTAATTTGATATCTTTTCTGTTAAATAATATTTATTATTTTATAATTCTATAATCTAAATTTTAATATATAATTTAAACATATATAATTAAAACAGAATTATTTAAAAAAATAAATATATTATTTACATATTGTATATATAAAAATATATACGATATTATATATAAAAATAAATTCATTCGTATAAACAATAATAATTTTTCAGTTTTTTTAATATTCAACATTTTTATTAAATTATGTTACAATTGAAAAAATATATAAATATTATAATTAAAATTGATAAAAATCAAATGAAAAAAAAAACTGAAATAATTTCGATTATAACGAGTTAAAATAGCATTATATTCAATTGAATGAACAATCGTTTAATTAAATAAAATTTTCTATAATTTTTTATGCAATATATTTTTTTCTTTTTATTCGCATATTGACGTCAATCAATTAAAATTAATCGTTAATTGTGACTTAACATCTGATGTATATCGATCTTGCATTCGTAATGTTTATTTATGGTCCACGAATAAATAGTTCGCGATTACATGTTGCACGTGGAGTTATGTTGGAAACAATTGCTCTTCTAAATACATATATAGGCTAAAGAAACTGACGAAATTTTTCACAAGAATACGTTTCGTGGAACTCGATGTATTTCACCTTCCGAATCGATCCAATCCCTCGGTCCATTGATTCAAGTCATTGTTTCCAAGAATTTGGAATTCTTCTTCCCAGTTATGGAAATCTGTGAACAAAAGAAGTGGAAACATAATAATTTTTGTCAATTTCTGGTTAATACAAAAAAAAAATTATTATTTTTAAGAAATTGTTGCTATAAATTTCATATTTATAGCATATACATATACATAAATATATGTGAATAATAAAGCATCAAATCTGTTTCATATCTTTTTTTTTTAGTGTAAATTTATATTTTTATAAATTAAAGAAATAAAATCTGTATGTATAAATACAAATTTGTTTTATATAAATTTAAATATTTATATGAATATTAACTTGACAACATAATAACTTTCAGTATTATGTATATGTTGATTCATTTATTTATTGAGGAATCTAATTTTCTTTTTACATTAAAAAAATTTAGAAGAAATAATGAGTAACTTACATGAGTTTGAAATATATTGTTAAAATATATTTCGAGCAACTTTTTTTTTTCACATAATCTTCGCAAAACTTATATGTATGTAAATCATTATTAAATTCTTCCTATGTATATGTTCGTCTATATACATATATAAGGTAAAGTCAATTGATCAACTGTTTATATAAACGTGATGACATCCGGTCATAAATATATATAAAAGTTACTTTCTTGGATTTGATATCTTTTGTGAAATATATAAATATAATATAAATAAAAAAAATATAATAAAAAAAATGATAGATATTAAGTGTGAAGCTAAAATCACTATCATGTAATTTCTATCGTTCTAATTTCGTCGAAGCGTTATTTTATATTTATTATATTTTATATTTGATTTTTATATTTTATATAGATATTTTGAATCGTAAACTCGTTACAAATTAAGATTCCGTTTTATATAAGGAAAAAATTGTTCAAAATTCATTCTTGAAAATGTATTTCAATGTTATTGAAATCTATTAGGATAACTAATTTGATAAATTCATAAAAATCGTTCAAAATGTTGTGTTTTATAATATGTTTCAAATTTATTAAAATTTATAAAGAGATAATTTTTTGATAAATTCGTCTATTGTACATATTGTCAATTATTTGCTATGTTTATAAAAACAATGTTTGTAATTATATTTATAATTGTATGCAGACACGTCACGAACTCTAGGAAACTATAGGAAAAATTGCATAATATCAATAATATAGTATCAAGTTTTTTATATATAATATATATATAAATAGAAAATTAAAGCTGATCGCAAATTATGTGTAAAGGAAAAAATTAGTTAAAAAGATGATATTTTTACAACATATTTATTTAAATAGATCAAAAAAGGAGCTAATCGATAGATACCGTAAAACTTTTTTTAATTTTGTTGATTTTTTTTCAGATAATTTGAAACGATACAATATTTTTTGAGATTACAAAAAATTTGTAATAAAAAAATGATTAAAAAATAATGATAAATTGTAAAAATAAAAATATATGATTATTATATTACTTTTCAAAAGATATCAAAAAATTAAAAAAATACTAAGAATACATAGTCAAAATATGATTTTTAAAATTTAAATTTTCATTATTGTTTACTGAATCATTGTTTTCAATAATAATTCCTACATTGTGATATTTTTTATAAGATTTTTTAAATTAAGATATTTCATTGTTTGTAATCGATTTTAATTGATCTATTAGATCAAAAGAATAAGAAGGTATTATTTATTGTGTGTTTATATATTTCGAAACACATATTAGTCAGCAAATACAGTTGTTATCAGTTTCTAGTGACATAAGTCATGAATTTTATCTGATTATTTGCGTGAATTACGGTATCGTCTATTGATACTGTTTCTTAATAAATATTATCAATAAAAAAATAACAAAGTGTGCGTGACCAGGAATTGAAATAATTAATCATGTCATGGTACAGATAAAAATATCTCCACTCTTCACTCAGTCTTTTCATATATTCAAGAAAATAAGTTTCTTTTTAAAAACGGATTTAATCTAATCGCATTCATAAAATATAGACAATGAAAATACTTCAGTTTAAAAATATTTGATCTTGTAATTATTTTTAATTATCAATATTAATTGAAATTTTAACTCTTAACTTTATAATACTTATGACAAGTGTTAAGTACATACACTTTCATTTAAATTAGGATACTTATAGAAAATGAAATAATCTTGAAAAATCTCTAAGAAAAAATCATAATGTTTTATAATTATTATTAAATTCATTAATTTGCTCTATAAAGAATATATTCTATATATATATCTTATGTAATGACAAAAACCTTCCTACTTATGTATAATAAAATTAAATTTTCTTTTCGTAAATACAAATACTTTTGTTAATATAATATAATATACATATAATATAAACATAATATAAACATAAAAATTAATTAAACTGGATCACTATGTTCTACTTGAAACAAATAGATATTATCTTAATATTTGCTTTTGGAGAAGATATATAGGTATATATTTCAATTTCAATTTTTAAACTGAAAAAAAATATTAAAAATAAAAAATACAAAATATATATAATATATCATATTATAAATATTATATATTATGTATATTATGTATATAATTTAAATTTACTTAAGTAGCTCCTAAAAGAATCATAAAGAGTAAAGAATTTATTATTTAAGATTAATTTATATAATAATAAATAATAATTTATGCCAAATGACGCGATTGAATTATTTTGTGATCAATAATATGTTATATATTTATTATTATTTTTTAAATAATTCTTTTTTTCAAAAATTTTTTAAAAATATTTTTCTTCATTTTTTTTGTTCTATTATTTTTCTTAAAAATATCTATCTACTATACATTTTCTACTACACATAATACTTATACATAATACATGAGCTTTATAACATAAAAGATATTACAGAATATATAGACCGCTTTACCTAATATATATAATATTGAGTTAATCATGATTGTCAAGAAATAAGATTAAAGATCTTAATCTAAAATAATGCACTTAAAACAAAAAAAAATGAAAGAATTTAATTCTATGTAATTTTTAATTCTATTATAATGAAAGAATTAATTCTATATTTCTCTCGTATAATATTATGTGATTATTAATATATTAATATATTAATAT